TATACTCATGTAAGAGTCTATTTCATTCATAGTTCGTTACCTGAATTCTTTTTTCTAACAAAAAAAATGATTTTTTTCCTATAGCTCGTGTTTTACTGATCTCAATTTCTAAGCAATATGAGTAAACCTTCTTCTTCTTTTCTTTCTCTTCAAAACGCAGGAGATCATTATCCTCCACATCTTCGTGTCCTTAATTTAAATTAGGCAGCCTTTAGTTTTCAGTCAGAACCTGGCGATAGTGTAGTGTTGTGCATGAAACTCAGAGTTATCTTACTGGTGAGGATAAAACACACACACACACACACACACATATATATATATATATATATATATATATATATAATATATATATATATATATATATATATATATATATATATATATATCCAAGTATAGGATTGGTATACAAAATAAATTCCAATAACTAAAAAATACTATTCTTAAAAGAGTGCTCAATACAAGGTATAGTAAATATAATTTATTCGCAAATTATAACATAAACATGCTATAAAATCACTTTCATACATTTTAGTGATTTTATAACGTGTTTATGTTATAATTTTCGAATAAATTATAAATACATATATAAATTTATATGTATGTATATATATACATTTATATATAGATATATGTCTGTGTGTGTGCTTTAAAAAACGGGCATTTTAAAACTACTTGTAAATATATAGAAAATAAAAAAGAAAGGGGAGGCAGAGGAAAGACCTGAAAATAGAGTACTCACCATAAAGTGGCGAACCGAAAAATATAACAATGAAAAATAACAAAAAATGCCTGATTATGTTTTTTCTCCTCGCTCTTCAGAGCCAGTCGAAGGCACAAATATGTGAACAACGATTAAAAAGGTGAGAGAGAAAAATCTTACTATCTGTGATATAATCACAGCTTACTTTAAGACCCAGCAACAATTCCTTCTGCATATAGATGGAAGGCTGTTTAGACTTAATATAAATGGCATTAAGATTTCTCCGATGGCAATCTGAATGTGCATTTCTGATTATCGTGAAAACAGCATAGTTGCAGTATAAACCTCAGGTGGGTTCTGTGGGTGTTGAATAAACATAAATGAGCCTGAGCAAGCGTCTGCAACAGGCATTGGCAACAGGGATTGGCAACAGTAATTGGCTAACCTCCCTATTAGAAGGGTATGCTCGAATACGAGTGGCCAGCTATCTATCTATCTATCTATCTATCTATCTATCTATATATATATATATATATATATATATATATAAAGAAATAATCATACAGAGAATCAATCAGCAATATTAATGCGATTAATGGCGAAATCACTTCGCGAGTAGAACATAATGTATGCATTAAAATTATTATTAAAATTAAATTATTTATCGCATTAATATTGCTGATTGATTCTATGTATGATTATTTCCTTATATATAAAATATACGCTGTCTAATATATATATATATATATATATATATATATATATATATATATATATATTAGGCCGATACAGAAAAAATACCTGTTGCGTTGTTAGAGTCAAGCACTTATTTGAACAGAGCTTCAGATAATGAAAATAAGCAAAAAAAAAAAATTAAAAGCTTTTTAACATTGAATAAAGAAAATTTGAACACTGGGAAATTGGACTAAATACTCTCTAGTTAAAAGATTAAGACCATACCTAAAGATAGTCATTAATCTATGTATGAAATGCCCAAGAAGACGCATCAGTAGTGTGTTGCACGGACATCATTGTCGTCAATCCCTTAAAACAATTGCGTTGGAATTGACTTCCATTTCTATAGACTCCCCTCGCCATCCACCCCATAGATTTTTAATCGTGTTCAGGTTATTCACCATGAAAATGCCCTTTGTCCTGCAAGTATTATGGATAGCAACATTGTTGTGTTGAAAGATCTCGTCCCTCCATACAAGGGCCTTCATTCAATAAGGATGCTCTCTCTCAACGTGCCAATGTCGCCAGCCGAAGTTTGACGCCCTTGTATAACCTAAAGCGCTATTGTTCCTTGGAAGAAGAGATCAGCCCAGATCATGATCGAACCGTCTCCATTGTTTCGCGTAGAAAATTTCTCCGGTATACGTATCGTGCCAGTAACATTGGAAGCCATCGAGCACATCCAGGTTTATTTTTTCTTTTCTTATCAGATAACAAAACCTTCTTCTAGTTTTCTATATCCGATGTTTGGCGCTTCTCGGCAGCGTTTAACCCAGCTGTTTCGTGGCGTAGAAGGACGTGTGGATTTTGAGCACTTTTACGGCTTTAAAATGTTTTCTCTCGGAAATACGGTCTTATTGTTCCTGAGCTACTTGCTTCGTCCGTAAGTACCTTGATCTGGCTCGATGGTCGGCTGGTGTCTTGCCGAACAACCATCGAATCTTCCAGGTCAATGCTGACAAAATGTTTGGCCGATCACTTGAAATTCTCGTTCCGTAACCATCTGCTTCTTTTAAGCATTTTACAAATGCAGTTTTACTACGTCCAATCTGACCAGCGAAAGCATGTTGAGAGAGACCTTGCTTTTGCAGCTCGACAATTCTGCCATGTTTTTACGTAATGTAATGTTTTTTATCGAAAAAAAAAGACACATGAACCGTTACATTGGGAGATGCTGACTTCGATAGTGCTTGAAAACAGTTGACTAAAATTCGTTACGTGTTTTCCAATTAATGCCTTGTTTAAATATATCGATTGTTAAATAAATTCTTAAGTCAGAATGTTTTGCAACTTACTAAACTTTACAGTGTTTCATATGACAGAGACGGCGTGTTCTTTGCGGGTTGGGAAAAGATGATGAAAAGACAATTTATTGAGAGCTACAAAAGACAAAAATTTCGGGAGAGCCATGATCGCCAACGTCCAATATTTAACCTGGAAGAAGAAAATGTTTTATGGGACTTAATGATAATATTTCATTTATTCTTTTTTCTTGAGCATTTCTCGAACGAATATTGTTTTAAATGCTTTTTTTTCTTCTATGTGCCGTCTCCCTTCAGAACGTTGGCCATCACAGCTCTCCACAATTCCCGACATTTTGTAGCTCTTTTGTCTTTTAGCTATCTCTTCTGAGTTCTGCCCGGCCATCCATTGACACAAACCCACTGTTTTACTCTGTTCCTCTTGCCTTCAATTTGTGCTGTGAGTGTCAAATTTTCCAAACCCTCTTTCCTCAATATGTACCCTAGAAATTTCAACTGTCTCCCTATGATGTTAACGATGAGTTTCTTTTTGGTTTCCATTTTCTCTAAAACTTTGTTGTCGCTCACCTAAGCCATACCATATATATATATATATATATATATGAAGAAAATTTGGAAAAAACAAACAAAAATCCTTAAATGCAATTATGTTTAAAGTGAATGAAATGTCGACGTCTGTTTGTTTTTTCCAAATTTTCTTCATTCTGTCGGATTTATATCCATTTACATTTGCCTACATATATATATATATATATATATATATATATATATATATATATATATATCAAGCAAGGTGGGAAGCCACGAGCACGCAAGGGGTTACAGAGGATTTGAAGCGAGAGCAGATAGGTGTGATAGGGTAATAGATGAGGAGAAGGATAGTGGATAGATCAAGGCAACTGGAGATGTCGATTGACATAAAATTTGAATAGTTGGAGATTATGGCTATCGTGGAAACAGGAAACAATGAATGGAGTTCCACAGGCGAGAGGTGCGAGATATGAAGCTATTCGAGTAGAAATGTGATGACGTTGTCATGTGTAAAACTGCAGACTGTTGTTTCGGATGACATTTTACATCTGATAGACGTGAAATTCTCAAGCGGTCACCCATTCAGGTACTGACTAGGTTCGACGTTACTCAACGTCGGTGATCTTACGAGAACCATTGTTTCAACGTGATATGGGCGTAAGCCATGTCACCTGCACATCCAGACTTACAGCACGTGGCATTCCCAAGCGCTCAACCTTCTAGGTAGTTGTTCGGCGTTGCTTAACTTCGAGGATCTTACGAGAACCAGGTGCTTTAACGTGATATGGCCGTAAGCCATACCACCTGGTATCTTCAGCAGTCTTCCATGGTATACATACCATGTCCATGATATCCTCAGCATCCTTTTGATCGAAAAATTTCAGTAATTAATATTTGTCCGTTGAAATCTAACTGAACTTGGTACACTTAGCAGTCGCATCTTCTACTGAAGTTTACCGTGTTTCATTTTAGAGACGATATCTCCTTGCCGTTGTGAGTGACGTTCCACTGTCTATCAGATGTAAAATGTCATCCGAAACAACAGTCTGCAGTTGTACACATGACAACCAGGACGAATTCCGCTTTGGCGGATTTCGTCGAGTTTTGAAAAATAAGGATCGTTTCTCGGCCTTTGGCTGAGATTCGATCACGGCTACGACTAGTTTGGACTGGCTTCGGTCGGGACTAGCTAAGACAAGCCATGACCAGCGTTGACTAGGCTCTGACCAGCTAAGAGCAGTTTTGGACCTTTTGGCCCTTTGAGTGGTAACACTCAGGGCTCCCACGTTAAACCGACCTTGTGTCACATCCTGAACCTGTGGGAGTCAGGTAAATAGCATGACAACGTCATCACATTTCAAAGTTCTCAAATCTTTCCCTCACTAATACCGACCAGACACTGCACCGGTGCTTCAACGTGATATGGCCGTAAACCATACCACAGGCACACCCAAGCTTCACAAGCGGTCACCCATCTAGATTACTGACCAGGATCAACATTACTCAACTTCGTTGATCATACGGACTTGGTCTATAGAAAGGAAACGAGGAGAGTTATATACAAAGAGAAACAGAAAGAAGAGAGTATTATATTCGTATTTGACTCAGGAATCTTTTTTTTTCTTTTCACGTTAATTCCCCCCCTCTATCAACATTAAATAAAACCAGGCACAAATAAAATATCAATAAAACACCTCAGATTGTCTTTAAATATTTTCTTTTGCACTCACTTTCTTTCATGTGAAAACCAATCTTCTAAATTATATTACTTAATGACATCAATAGGCAAGTAAGGCTTTTTCAATTATTTTTCTCTGGCCTTTCATCCCAGAAAAAAATAGCGTGTTAAATATATATTTTTTTAAATCGTAGAAATCCGTAATTAATAATTAAAAAAAAAATGCACTAACCCAACACCCAAAAAATCTGAAGTTAACATTTTTTTTTAATTTAATTTTTTTTTTAATTAACTAATGGCCAGTTGGTCTCCTGTCCAGCTGAACAATTAGTCCAAGATACCAAATTGAGTAAAGACTAAACAAACAAATGTATTAATCAACGTTAGAAAGACTAAAAACTAAGTTACCAATCACTAATTGTAATGAATGGTCCGAGCCCTATAACTATGAGATCTAAGAAGAACCCGAACAATGGAAAGCATTAAGATATTAAATCTTTTGAATGTTAAATGATAATGACAAGAAAATAGAGTTCATAAAAAAATGAAACAAACATGATAAAAAATAAATATATTAAGGACTTTTTACCAAAACTGTCCACCGCGAAGAAAGTGTAATGAAATAAATCAAATGCTATTTGTCAAACGAAAACCATTGTCCTTTTATTGATTTCACGTTTGCCAGACATTTTGGGGATAAAATGTTTTACTTTTGCTGTCAATTTATTAGGTGTGGCCGAAAGATTCCAGCGAAAAATTGGTTCCCATCTAAACGTTTCAAAAAATCGGTTTCCATTTAGGCAAAGTTTTAACAGAGGTACAGGCCAAAATAAAACGATGTGTCAGCCAGACGGTGTTTTTTTTTTTTTACTATCGCTATTACCAAACACTCCCTCGTTAATGCTCTTATTGTTTTAAAAAATGACTTTTCTAATTTTAATAAAACTATAACGAAGAATATTAAACTCAACGCACAAGAAGAACGAAACATTTGATGTAGTTAGAAGTAATTACAGCGACAATAATCATAAATTGCGCTTCACGTGGTTTGGTTTTCATCGAAATTCTAAAAAAATAACATAGCTTTTGAAAATCATACAGATAATCGTAAGATATTTTCTTTCAAAGAAAACCAAAGAACAAAAAATATAAAATGTCTAAAACAAAACTAAAATTACAGATTATATTTAAATTGGTTTAAATTGTATATGTTCGTTTTTTGTGAGGGTGAAAGAATTTAAGTTACACTGGTTGTGGTTGTAGGTAGACATATCTTAGATTATTTAAGTATGGATTTTATAAAAAATAGTGATATAATAAAGTGTATTTGATGCATAAAGTGCTAAAATATCTATCAGAATTCCTTCGAAACAAGATAATTGTGTGAGGTATTTACTTTCAAAGAAGACCAAATAAGAAATAAAGCAAAAGGTTTTAAACAATACTAAAATTACAGATTACATATAAATTGGTTTAAATTAGGCAGCAAATGTTCTTTAAGACAAATGTGATTAAAGACAACGTACATTTTGAGTCGATTAATTTTATTGATCGACCTTTACAAATTACGAATAATCTTTCTCAGATAAAGAGGAAATTCCGTTAGAAATGTCTCAAAGTTCATTTCGGAAGAAATATGGTCCAAACTTTCGACTTTCTTAAGTCATCATCACGGGATATAGATGGTGAGTGATGTCGTTTAGACAATATCAAAAAACAAAATATATATATATTTTTTTTAATCATGGGTACCCAATTGCATCATCTACAAGCAAACCAAATTCCATTTAAACAACAACAATTATAACAATAGTTATAAATATAATATTGTCAATAAGGATATTAACGTATATTACCAAAATCAAATGCACCGCAATTACCAAAAAAAACAGTAATAAAAAACATCGTACATATATATATATATATATATATATATATATATATATATATATATATATATATATATATATAACCAGACAATTTAAAACAAATACACCATATTCAATATTTACTACAAAAATTCAAAACTAGCAACCTAGTTATTAAATATAATATATCCAAAACTTCCAAACCCCTATACAAAACCAATGTTGTGTATGAATATGCTTTCCCACTAGGATATGTTTCTCTGTAGATAAAAAGCACAAAACATCTGACATAGGATATACCACAACCACAGTCTCTCGGAGGCTCAACTATCGGAACTTCAGACAGAACATTAATAAGCTGAATCGGGATCATAGTAACGTTAGAAACCTACTTACTAACAATACCAAAAATCTAGTAAAAAAATCAAACAGTAAAAAGAGACTTAGGATCCTCGAAGCAATAGAATAAAAAACACCCATCTATAAATATAAAGAATTACAATTTAGGAGCCACATCCCCAACTGTATATTACAAAAAAAAAAAAAAAAAACATACACAGAAACCTCACAATTTGCCAACGTAACGATACTCACTAGTTCTACGATATTCGCCATTTGTCTCTGCCTCCGCTGAAAATGACTTAAAATGATGAACTTTGGACAATTTCTGACGGAATTCCCTCCTTATCGGAGGAGGATTATTCTTAATTCGAAAAAGTCAATCAATAAACTAAATCGGTACAAAATGCTTGTTGCTTTTAATAACATTTGCTGCCTAAATACACAAAACCATTTATTTACCTCTCTCTCTCTCTCTATATATATATATATATATATATATATATATATATAAATATATATTCTAGTGATGCTTTTCACCCTCTAGGACTTCATCGGTCTAAAGTAACGTTTTTGTTGATGTAATGATACATACGTACAAAAGTGAGGCGGAACATAAAAAGCGTGAATGTTGCTTATAATTATGTATTGGGAATAGTGAAAATACTGGAACGCTGAAATTTCAAATTTAATTTTTTTTATAGATGCTTCTGGGTATATAGTCTAGCGAATTTCATTTAGTTTCTCTATGTCTTTTGTTTATGTTTTATCGCCTTATTAAATATTCCACATTGGGAGAATAGTTCTGCCAAGAGATGTGAACCTTTAATGATCAAATTTAGTTTGGTTGAACCAGCAATTGAATCACTTTTATACACTTTAATTTTAGTAAATTGTTTTCTCTTTTAATGAAAGTAGAATTTTTTTTAAGTCGAAATTATGGTAAAAAATTATAATTAACACAGCAAAGTCACAACTTCTTGCGCAACACACCTTGAAGACCATAACATTAGATGGTTTAAATGCCTTTACGTCACACCTTGCATTCGTCACAACACACTTTGCCTACGTCAGAACACTCACTAGTTCTACGAAACTCTCCATTTGTCTCTACCTATCCTGACGATGAATTAAGAACGTCGAAAGCTAAAACCATATTTCTTTCGAAATGAACTATGGACAATTTCTGACGGAATTCCCTCAATATCTGAGAAGGATTATTCTTAATTCGAAAAAGTCGATCAATAAAATTAATTGGCACAAAATGTCTGTTGCCTTTAATAACATTTGTCTTTAAGAACATTTGCTGCCTAAATACACAGAAAATCCCCCCCCTCTCTCTCTCTCTCTATATATATATATATATATATATATATATATATATATATATATATATATATATATATTCTTGTGATAATTTTCACCTTTAAGACTTCATCGTTCTGACCTTCATAGGTCCGCGGTTGAGCCGGGGCCTGTCGCACCGATAATCGCGGATAATAAAAGACTTAAATATTCTTCTCTTGCGGGGACAGATGTATTTTTACTCCTGTGGCAGTGGAGACTTCTGGGGTTATTGGGCCTCGTTCGATGGCGTGTCTTCGGAGTGTCGGCGGGATGGCGTCTCGATTAAGGGACGAGCCTCGCGAAACGAAGTGGCTCTCTTTGTCTCACCGGCGATGGTGCGATATAATGCTTTCTCCATCATTGAGGCTGGCAGGATACATTCATAGAGCGTAAGTTCCGTAGAGGAAAGTTCATCCGAACATTTGCCATCAAAGTATTTATTGAAAATGCAGAGGTAAGCTACAGGATACAGGAGATCAAAGCGAGTTCCACAGGCGAGAAGTGCGACGGAAGAATCTATTAGAATAGAACATACGGTCACATATAGCTATTTCAACAGTAAAACGATGATGTCTAGTTGCCAATCTCCTCGTTCCTGCAGTCGAGATACCAAGGATCCGAGTTCATTAGAATAAATGTCATGAAGTTCATAGAAAAGACAGAGGGAAGTTACCTAGTGGGAAATTGACCGAAGTCGAGATGCCAGGACAAGACCGATAACATTACAGACTCTTTGGATTTATCGCGAGAATCTCTAGATATATATCCTGAGAGATGGCAAGAATACTGAATGAATAAAAGAATGGTACATTTATAGACGTGAAAAATGGATTTTGGTAAGAATTGTCTAGAACGACACAGGGAACAAAACCTCTTAACAGCAGACCTAGCAACTGATTCAATATAATCGATCCACTTTATGCCAGTGGTAAAACGTGAAATCAAGTAGATGCAATGGTTTGCTCTCCTAAAGGTTAGCATTGGCCATCCTGATGGAAGGTAAAAATGATTCTCTATCTATGATTTATTAATTCTGTAGCTATAGTTATGAAAATGTGTTTGTGTGTGTGTATGTATGTGCGTGTTTTTGTTCGATAGATAATCCTTCAGTGGCGGTCTTGAGTCCAAATTATTGCCGACAATGGCTCTCCACTACTTCCTGTTAATTATAACTCTAAGCAACGTTTTACTATTTACTATCTGTTCTTGGATATATATATATATTTCATAGAAACTTTAATAAAAATAAATAGTTTAAATTATTAGAATAATATTATCTATATCTATATCAAAATGTGTACGTATGTATGTGTGTGTGTCTGTGATCGGATGTTGTTTATACGTTTCCACAGTTTTTATCCGATTTCGATAATTTTTTTTCTTTTTTTGGTTTGATAGATAATTTTTCAGTGCCGGTTTTGAGTACAGATTGGCTGGAATAATTACAGTCTTGGAGGTGAAAAATAAGAAATGCTTTGCGCAAAAATCAAAGGCAAAATTTAATGTCTGTAAAAAACTACCGCAAAAAATAATAGAAATATAAAAAAAATAAGTTATAAATAAAAATTATCGTATATTATTATTATGACGTTCCATGGAAGAGGTTCCTTCCTTGCAAAATTGAGAACGCAAAAACGGACCTTTTTCAGGGTCACCCCACTTCAAATTGTTAACCCCCACCCCCACCATTTGTGCCTTAGTTGCACCCGATTGTTGTTACTAATATTGATTTTCGGGTGGGCTGACTAAACTGCTCCATTTGAACGGTAAAAATTCCCAGTCATTAAACACCCGGTCGAAGTCGAGTTATACTGCTAGTGAGGATTCTAATTCCAAGTTGAAAGAAATGAAACTAACAAATGTCGACAATGGTTACTTTCCATCTTTAAAAAATTATTTTGAGGATGAAATATCCGGTACACAGTTTCACTGAGAGATCTCGAGTCCCGTAACTTTTTTGGAGTCGTAAGGGCATCACAACTATAGCTGCCACAGTAGAAGGGGTGGGTCTTGGACCAGATACCCTGACGGAACCCAACCTTTTTCAGGCTGGTTTGAATTCAGAGATTTTATTCTGCTAGACTGCTTACAACCCAAGGTTATAGAACCCCGTCAGTCCTGCTATTGGCCATCACTGGGGAATAGAAGAGACGTATTCATACTTTTTTTTCCCAAAGGCATTAGCACGTAAGTGAAACTGCTCGTTATTTCTGGGTTTTATTTATTTATTTTTTTTTTTGTTTTTTTTTTTTTCACACAGCCATATACGGAACAGCATAACTCATGAAAACAAGGCCTTCACCTTTTCAAAAACGCTTAAAAAAAAAAATTAAATTTTAAATTTTTAAATCCTGGTTTCCACACCCGGAGATTTAGTGACAAGTGCTTGCAATATTGATTTGAATGTTTGCAAGTGTTTTTTTATTTTTAAATTTTTAAGTTATTTTTTCGCCATATTTCTTTTTTTTTTTTTTTTTGTTTATAATGTGATACAATGTGTGAAAAAATCGGTGATAATTTGTAATTCTTTCTTTACATTAACTGGATCTCATTACTGTTGAGGTTTTACAGTTTTCCTTTTTCCACCTTTATTTTTTTTTATTTTTGTATTTTTTCTTAGTTTTGCCGGGAATGGAGCATTTCTTTTTGATTTATTTAAAATGTAACTTTATATTTTTTTTTTTCAGGGATTTTCATTTTTTATTTATTTATGTTTTTTTTGTTTCTTCATTTGTTTTTATTCTTATTTATCTTTTTGTTTTATTCTTCTTCCACATCGACCGTGTAATTTTCTCTATTTCTCTTTCTTTCTTTCTTTCTATCATGTCTTGCATTTTGCTTTCCTTTCTTTCATATTACCACTCTTTTCTTTCTTTCTTTCTTTCTTTCTTTTTTCTTTCTTTCTGTCTTTTTCCTTTCTTTCTTTCGTTCTTTTTTCTTTCTTTCTTTCTTTTTTCTTTCTTTCTAGTTTTCCTTTTCTATTTCTACCTTTTCTTTCTTTCTTTCTTTCTTTCTTTCTGTCATTTTTGTCAGTTGTAATCAGTTCTCCCCTATTTCCCTTCTTCTTCCAACCTTTTTTCTTTCCTTTCTTTCTTTTTTTTCAGTTTTTCTGTCTTTTCTGTCATTTTTAGTTATTTTCCCTATTCTCTTTTCCCTTTCTTTCTTTCTTTCTTTTTCTTTCTTTTTTTCTGACATTTCTAATCACCATTATTTTTAGTTTTCCTTTTCTATTTCTACCTTTTCTTCGTTTCTTTCTTTCTTTTTTTTCTTTCTTTCTTTCTTTCTTTTTTTCTTTCTTTCATGTCTTGCATTTTGCTTACCTTTCGTTCCATTATACCAATTTCTTTCTTTCTTTCTTTTCTGACATTTGTAATCACCTTTTTTCCTAGTTTTCCTTTTCTATTTCTACCTTTTCTTTCTTTCTTTCTTTTTTACAATGTACATCCTCACTTATTTCTCTTTTTACTATTTTATCTGTCTCTTTTTTTATTATCTTTTCCTTTCACTTTTCCATTATTCATTCATTCATTCTCTCCATTTTTTCTTTACAGTTATTTCTTGTCGTTATTCCTTCTCTCTTTACTGCATTTTCGATTTGGTTGATATATTTTATAATAAATTCCTTCATTCTTTCAGTGTTTCCATTTTATTTTATGTATTCTTTTATTTTCTTTCTTTCTACCCAATATGTTTTGCCTTTCGTCTTTCTTTCCATTATACCACTTTCCTTCTTTCTTCCTTTCTTTCTTTCTTTCATTCTTTCTTTCTTTCTTTCTTTCTATTTTATCTTTCTTTCTTTTACGTTTTCCATTCTTCCCATATAATTCTTTCTTTCTTTCTTTCTTTCTATTTTATATTTCTTTCTTTCCATTATACCACTTTCTTTCTTAGCTTTCCAGCATGTCTTGCATTTCGTTTTCCTTTCTTTCCATTATAACTTTCCTTTCCCTTTTTTCCTTCTTTCTTTCTTTCTTTCTTTCTTTTTATTTTGTCTTTCTTTCTTTTTGGTTTTCCATTCTTTCCATATAACTCTTTCTTTTTCTTTCTTTCTTTCTTTCTTTCTTTCTTTCTTTCTTTCCATTTCCACTTTCTTTATTAGCTTTCCAGTATGTTTTGCATTTCGTTTTCCATTCTTTTCATATAACTCTTTTTTTCTTTCTTTCTTTCTTTCTTTTTCTTTCTTTCTTTCTTTCTTTCTTTCTTTCTTTCTTTCTTTCTTTCTTTCTATTTTATCTTTCTTTCTTTCCATTATACCACTTTCTTTCTTAGCTTTCCAGTATGTCTTGCATTTCGTTTTCCTTTCTTTCCATTATAACTTTCCTTTCTCTTTTTTCCTTCTTTCTTTCTTTCTTTCTTTCTTTTTTCTTTCTTTCTTTTCATGATCCTTTTATCTCTGTAATTTGTTCTTGTATACTTTCTTATCGTTTACTCTTTCTTTATTTTTTGTCATTATTTTAATTTTTATATATTTTTCTTTCTTTTTTTCTGTTTAATAAAATTAGTTTCTTGTTTTCATGATTCCGCCATCTCTTCATTGTTTTCCTTTTGATTTTGTTTTGTTATTTCTTTCTTCTTTTCTTTTTTTTTTTTTGGCGCATTCTTCTTTTTCTATGTCTTTTATTGCCTTCTGTTATCTTTCTTTCATTTTCTGAATATTTTCATGAACTTTTGATAATATTTTATTCTCTCTTTCTTTCTTTTTCTATTTATTTATTTCATCATCTCTTCTTATTATCCATCTTTCATCCTCTAATATCTTCTCTATCCTTCATTTCATGATCCGTTTTTCTCATTCCATCCTTAATTTTTCTTTTCCTTTTTTTAAATTCCTTCCGTCTGTCATTTTTGTTCGTTGGTTTGTTTTTTGTTTCTTTCTTTCTTTCTTTTTTCTTTCTTTATTTCTTTCTTTCTTTCTTTCTTTCTTTCTTTCTTTCTTTCTTTCCATTATGTTTTGTGATTCGTTTTCCTTTCTTTCCAATATAACTCTTTCTTTCTTTCTTTCTTTCTTTCTTTCTTTCTTTCTTTCTTTCTTTCTTTCTATTATGTTTTGTGTTTCGTTTTCCTTTTTTTCCAATATAACTCTTTCTTTCTTTCTTTCTTTCTTTCTTTCTTTCTTTCATTTCATGATCCTTTTCTCCTTCCTTCTTTCGTTTTTCTTTTCCTTGTTTTTAATCCCTTCCTTCTGTCATTTTCTCTCCTTTTTCTTTCTTTCTTTCTTTCTTTCTTTCTTTCTTTCTTTCTTTCTTGTTTTCTTTCTTTCTTTGTTTTTACTTCTTTCTTTCTGTCATTTTTCTTTCTTTGTTTCTTCATTTCTCAATTCATTATCTCTTTGCTTTCTCTTTCTATCTATTTATCTTTCATTCATTAATTCTTCGTCTTCTTTTTATACCTTCTTTCTTTTCATTCCCTCACACATTCATGCTTTGCTTTCTGTAGCTACCAATAATTATCTCTCCCTGTCTCTCTTCAAAAATTCATCGTGAACCACACTGATCCCTTCCTTCATAAAATTCCCGATTGGCATTCCTCTTCGTTATTTTTTGTGTTTGTCTTTGCGCATCTTCCTGAAGTTGAAACAAAACTCACCAGAATCGATTTCTTTTTCTTCAATCTTTATTTTGCTTATTTATTTATTCCTTTATTTTCATTTTCTTTCAGTCTTTCTTTCTTTTCTTTCATTTCTAATTATTTCTTCCCTGTTTTCCTTTTTCTTCATTCTTTTATCTTTCTTTTTTCTTTCTTTCTTTATTCGTTTATTTCTTAGTTTTTCATTTATTTCTTTCTTTCTTTCTTTCTTTCTTTCTTTCTTTCGTTCGTTCGTTCGTTCGTTCGTTCTTTCTTTCTTTGAACACTTTCAGTCTTTTTCCCTTCATTTGTCATCACTTATTTCCTATTCTTATTTTCCCTTTCTTTCTTTCTTTCTTTCTTTCTTTCTTTCTTTCTTTCTTTACATTTTCTTTCAGTCTTTCTTTCTTTTCTTTCATTTCTAATTACTTCTTCCCTGTTTTCCTTTTTCTTCATTCTTTTATCTTTCTTTCTTTCTTCTTTCTTTCTTTATTCGTTTATTTCTTAGTTTTTCATTTCTTTTTTTCTTTCTTTCTTTCTTTCTTTCTTTCTTTCTTTCTTTCTTTGGACACTTTCAGTCTTTTTTCCCTTCATTTGTAATTACTTCTTTCCTATTCTCATTTTACCCTTTTTTACTTTCCTTCTTTTAGTTTTTCTTTCTTTCTTTTCATTTTCTTTCAGTCTTTCTTTCTGTTCTTTTATATCTAATTACTTCTTCCTTGTTTTCCTTTTTCTTCATTTTTTTATCTTTCTTTCTTCTTTCTTTCTTCATTCGTTTATTTCTTAGTTTTTCATTTTTTCTTTCTTTCTTTCTTTCTTTCTTTCTTTCTTTCTTTCTTTCTATCTTTCTTATCACTTCTTCCCTGATTTCCTTTTTCTTCCTTCTTTCTTTCTTTCTTTCTTTTTACGTTGTTTCAGTCTTTCTCTTTTTGTCATTTGTAAATATTTCTTTCCTGAATTCCTTTTTCCTCCATTTTTTTATGTTTCTTTCTTTCTTTAATCGTTTATTTCTTACTTTTTTTCATTTTCTTTCTATCTTTCTTTCTTTTGACTTTCTTTCAGTCTTTCTTTCTTTTACTCCATTTGTAATCACTCCTTTCCTATTTTCCTTTTTTCTTCTTTCTTTATTTCTTCCGTATTTTCTTTTTCACTTTTGTCGATATTTTATTCTTTTTTTCAGGGTCTTGAAATTTTAATCTTACCAGAAATGAATGAAGAATTTAGAGTCCAGACCCTTCAATAAATGTGTTTAATCCTGATCAAAAAAAAAAAAAAAAGTTAATTAAACATGAGTAACGGATTCAAACGAATCGCAGGTTTTCAAATATATCCTCAAGACTCAATGAAACCGGGACTCAAAATTTCACATGCGGGGTAAGAAAAGGAACATTTTAAACTTCTTTTAAGAGCGATTTGATTTTATTGTCTAACGACATATCAACACCTAATGGGTTATTGAATGCCGAAGTTTAATTTTCTTGAGAGTTTTGAAGTAATAAAAATATATCAAACATTGTTTAAATATTATCTCTAAAGAATTGTATTTAGTTTTTCAATTTAAAAAATGACCGATTTTAAAATCCTATTGTTTACATTTTGGCTTTACTGAAATTCGCTTCCCGACCGACAATGACCTTCAAATAAAAAAAAGAGTCATCTTATCAAAACAATGATTTTTTTCTCGACAACTATCTTCTGCGCCTTTGAAATTTATTTGCCAAGAAATATGTTTGTTGTTGTCTTCCCTTTGTTGTTCATTTACCAATCCAATCCAAATAATTCTCTGTCCCTTTTCAAGACTGTCCATTTTCATTCGTCTTTGAGGATTCATAAGAATTCTGTTCGCTTTTCAGTTCATATTTTAGAGTTTCCAAAGCGTATTTTGGACTGAACATTCCATTCGGCGTTTCTGGTTTGCAGAAGGAAAAAAAAATGTCTTTTTTTCTCTTCGCTTCATATTTTAATTCATGTTCTCACCTTAACGTTTTTCATCCTTCCATTTCTCCAAATCCTATACGGGATTTTCACATGAGCCCAGTGTCACAGCAAGAAAATATTGTTGGATTGCACGAATTCTTTGGAGATTATAATGTTTTACTGATACAAACCTTGACCCATATCTGGGAATAGAAGAGGTGGATTAATACCCTTCCAGTACTAAGCCGTTATGTATTATACCACCTCCATATGCAAGATTACAGAACCTGGTATTTCCAAGAGGTTACCCATCTACGTTTGATCAAGCTCGACGTTGCTTAACTTCTGTGATCGTACGAGTACCAATGTTTCAACATGATATGGCCGTATTCTGCCACAAAGTTTCCAACACGCTAAAAGGTCGCCACACGTTTGCCAGCACTGTAATGTTCGTCAACGTTGACCAAGAGCCCAATTCGAACTATTTCTTTCTTTTTATGTGCCGTGTCCTTTCAGGACGTAGGCGATCATGGCTCTCCACTTCCTCCTATCCCTTGTAGCTCTTAATAAGTTTTGTCCCTTTGCTACTTTCCGCAGGCCATGTTGTGTCATCCACTTACTTAAGCCGGCTAGATATGCCATGCGTTGCTTTCCCTTGTCACTCTTTCCTTCTTCTCGACCTTTGAGTATCAGATTCTCCAAGCCGCCTTTTCTCATTACGTCTCTAAGAAATTTCAGCTGCCTCTTCTTGATGTTAAGTATAAGCTTCCTCCTTGTTTGCATCCTCTCAAAAACCTCATCGTTGCGCACACTCTCTGTCCATGATATCCTTAGCAGCGTTTTCTCTTTCCCTCTATTCGACTTGTGTGTATCAGATTCTCCAAGCCCTCCTTCCACGTTATGTATCCCAGAAATTTCAGCTGCCTCTTCCTGATGTTAAGTAGAAGCTTCCTCCTTGTTTGCATCGTCTCCAAAACCTTATAGTTGCTCACCAGCTCTTTCTATAATATCCTTAGCAGTCTTCTGTCGTTCGCTCAGTTCGACCTGTGAGTATTAGATTCACCAAGCCCTCTTTTCTCCTTACGTGGCTCAGAAATTTCAGCTGTCTCTTCCTGATGTTAAGTTTAAGATGCTTCCTTGTTTTCATCCTCTCCAAAATCTCTTCGTTGCTCACACGCTCTGTTCATGATATCCTTAGCAGTCTTTTCCCTTGCCCTCTATTCGACCTGTGAGTATCAGATTCTCCAAGCCCTCTTTTCTCATTACGTGACCCAGAAATTTCACCTGCTTCTTCCTGATCTTAAGTATAAGCTTCCTCCTTGTTTGCATTCTCTCCAAAACCTCAGCGTTGCTCACACGCTCGGACCTTGACATCCTTTGCATACTTGTGTAGAACCATACCTCCGTTGCTTCGAGTCTCTTCTTTGAGGAGACCGTCAAACATTCACTGCCATAAAGGAGGACAGATATCACGTAGCATCTCAGTACTCTTTTCTTTGTTACCAACGAAATCCTCCTGTCTCGTAATACTCTGCAAAATTCGGAATGCCATTTTGGTCATCCCAACACATCTTCGGACCTCAGCGTCGCACTTACCGTTTGCTGTATACGTGAAACTTCCTTCTATGTGCAACCTGTGCTCTTGGAAGTCCGTAGACATCTTTCTAAGGAAACTGAAAAACACTCTCGTCCATTCTTTCGTTTGAGTGAGCGAGGTCTAATAATACGTCTTTGTAATCGGGTCACCAGATCGCAACTTTTTCGAGCCTCCTGTTGGATGAATGATATGAACATTAGTCAGACGCTGGCCTGAGATAGAGAAATATTGAAGGAAAGCTTTTCGGGAGTAGAACCAACGGTAGAGACTGTACGACCTGTGCGTGATACAGAGTGAACGGACCGGAGGGAAAAATCCCAGAACTAAGGTGTCATGCATGCAGCGAGCCCAACTAGATGACAATGAAACGGGAGAATGCACTCGCAGATTTTGCAGCTCATGGAATAAAATACGTTATGTAAAAACAAAAAATAGAGAAGCGAATGGAACCGTAAATAATCTTTGTAAACCCTGACACATTTCATCACAGTAGTCCGGTGCATGTGTGTTGTAGAGTAGTTTTCACAGTGGAGGCTTGTATTTCGCTAAGTCGGTCCTAAAACGGTCTGGCGTACAAAACGTTAGGAACTTGAAATAAGAGTTAATGACGCAGCAATCTAATTGTGATGGTTGATATGTCAATGTCCGACATCGACTGACTCACTCAACTCCACTGAGCCCAACTGGCGACCGCTACTACTACTACTACTACTACTTATTATGTGTGGGAGAGTCTATTACAATAGAATAGGGAATGTTCTGGAATAACAATGTGTTTGTGGTTTGGGTTTTGTAGTGAGCTATTAATAACAGCATGATCGCTTTGACATCGGTATGTACATCTGGCATTAACCCACTGAGCAAGTTAAACAAGTCTAGATTAGAGAACCAATGTCATCTTGGGAAGAAGTGGATATGAGAGAGAGAGAGAGAGAGAGAGAGACAGAGAGAGAGAGAGCATTATTCATAAAAAAGAAAGAAAGATTGTATGAAATAGAAACGCTGATAAAACTATGAACGGAATGTGTTAGCAACGGTGAGGTTTTATGGAAAATAGCAACAATATTGACACTTGTAGATAGAATCATGAAGACGCAACAGAAATTATCTGCATCCGTCTGCAGAACCTCATCTGTGATTGATTTGTTTCTTTAACGGCATATCAACTACTTATGGGTCATTTAATACTGAAATCTAATTTTCATGGGAGCTTTGAAATAGTAAAACTACAATATATAAAACTACTGCAAACAGAATATGAAGAAAAATAATTAAAAAAGAAAAAGCATATTAGAAAATGCTAATAATAGTAATAATAATAATAACAACAACAACAACAACAACAATAATAATAATAATGCGAAAAGGAAGAAAAAATATGAAGCCGGTAATAATAAAAAATGTACTAGTTGGAGCCCTAGGACTGGTTGGAAAAGATTGCAGTAGACTAATTGAAGGGATTCCTGGAAGTCCATGCCTCAAGTACAAAAAAATGTTCTGACAAGTACAGCCCACACCTTACGAAGGGCTTTATCTATGTAATTTTTTTTCTCTTGTCAGTGGAAAGTGTCATGACGCCATTTCTAACCTTAGGTCTCTGGGCGGGACCCGGAAAGAAATGTGTAAACGCCAGAAATCAAAGAAAATAAAAAAAATAATAATAATAATTTAATATAAATATTTTTTTAATTTTTATTTTTAATTTTATTTATTTATTTTATTTTTAATTTTTTGTTTTCATGGCTCCAGGTGTAATTTTCCTACAATGCACTGCCCTTTGACTGTCGTCTCTTTCGTGAAAATTTAAAAATATATCTTTTAGTGGCTAGTAGGTTGAGAGATGAAATGTTTAACTTTTATTCCCTTGCTTCTACCCCTTTGTTTAATGAATTCTTTGATATCCCTCCCTACCAATCTGTAGTATAAGTCCAGCCTACCCCATAAAATTTGATAAGTATCTGTCATCGGCGGCGGAATATTGAACATTTGCTGAAAGTCATTTGTGCCATGCTCCGAACATGTAAGAAATGGTAAATGTTGTACCATTTTTCAATCATACTTTTCCTGTACTTTGATATGATTCTAAATTCCTTTGACTCAAGTTAATTCTTTCCTTTTCATTTCCCTTTTCTCTTTCCTTTCTCTTCTTTTTTTCAAAACTCTATATACTAAAATCTTATATTCTCCCTGGGAATGGTCACTCCGACATATACTAAGTTAAAACTTAGTATAGTCTACCTCACTGAATCCCATACACTATTATGAACTATTCCACCTTCAATATATTAATAAATCCACATTCTAACCAATCTCATTGGTTGGGCGTGCTCTTGGATCTTCTTCGAGAATCGTCCTAAAGATGGTAACTTGAAAATAATTACCCCTTGGCGGTCAAGGTTAAAACGCATATCTCTACAAATTTCAATGAATTCGAATAAAATTTCATACCGGATCGGCCGTCACCCGGGACAACAAGGGCCGCGTCCCTCAGAGAGGAACCAGTCTGAGGACGAAAAATCTGTCACTGGAACAAACTCTTCCACAAACGAAGAGACACTAGGTCACCAAACCCGGATTATTGCCAACCTTGGACCAAGTGACTCAATACCAAATCGACTTATAAAAAGAAAACGAACGAAGAGGTCTCGCGAAGAGTATCGACAAGTCATGACATCCTTCTTC